CGTCCGAATAGGGGCAATTATCTAGCGAGTAGGTATTTTCTAGCTAAGTGAATCGACCGCTAGTTAAGATGAGATAAGAATTCTAGTGCAACTTCGGGTTAAGTGAATTAAGAATCTTAGAACAGCATTGAGTTAGGTTGAAATTTCAGATGAGGTTAGAATAATTCTCACCTAAGGGGCATTGACCTAGAGATAGGTTTTATCATAACCAAGTGTTTTGAACCCCAGTTAGTATCAAGGACTCTAGTGCAGTTGTGAGTTAAGCTCCAACCTCCGAAGTGCATAAGAGTTAGTTTTTGCCCTAGTATGGGCAACGACCTACAGATTAGGTCCTACAATTGCTTATCGTAAGCGTGAAGGCCAAGTGTCCTTCTCGTCAATTATAGACATTCAAATGAGAAGCAGTTATAGACAGTCAGCTGAGCAGCAGTTCTATACTATCAGTTGAGGAGCAGTTATAGACAGTAAATTGAGCAACAATTATAGACAGTTTGCTTATTTATACGCCTTTGTGATGTGTTTTATCATACTAGATGTATGCTTAAGTTGTGATGTGTTTATCATCGTATCGTTTCTGCCAATCCAGTAAGTACTTGCATGTATCCCGATGTCAAGATATGTTATTATATTAGTTGTTTATTCAGTGTCGGTTCCGGCAGAGCATCGTTGATTCAATTATGCTCACGCCCCCCACTAACCATTTTTCAGGTGATTTCGAGCATGGAGCGTGAGCCGATGATGTGGTGGTGGTCATAGCAAGTATATTTTTGAGTAAACATGTCATTTATATTTGAACATGTTTGAGTTATTATGCTTTATTGGTGCATGCTTGCATTTGCTTCCGCCCTCAGCATTTCAGTATTTCAGAATTTCAGTATTTCAGTATTCAGAATTTCAGTTTATGTATGCTTAAATCATGATATTTTCATGGCGCCTTATTAGAGTAATGAATTATACCTCGGTTGCATGCATAGTAGTAAGTGAGAATAGAAATGAAAATTTAGTTCAGTTGTAGCATCCCGCAGATTAAAGTTAAATTATTTTCGAAAAACTAGTTCAGTTGAGTAGCATCCCGCAGATTAAAGTTAAATTATAAAGTTTTTCAAAAATTAAATCAATGATTTCCATTTATAGCGTGAAAAACTTACTCTGATTTTAGTAGGTTTAGGCGGGATGTTAAAATGTGTGCATTTGTGTAGGAGAGAGAAGGTGAATGAGAGATAAAGGGATGAGTGGGTCCTAACTGGTTTGTTAAAATTATTATGTTACCTTAATAAAGGTATAATTTTGGCTTTTTTTAGCCATTAGATCATCCGATCTAGTGGCTACAATTTATTCTAATTTCTTTCAATAAGCAACATTTTCATGTGAATCTAACCCTATATATTATTTTTTAAGATCAACAAAAATGTACTATACTTATTATTTGCTTAAAAAGTTCTAATCCACCTCTATTTTTACTCAAATCCACTTTGCACAACACAAAGAAACTGTTTATTATTGGGGGAGATATGGTGGCGGCTATCCAAGAGTTCTTCCGCACCGGGTCACTCCTCAAGCAATGGAACCATACGGCTCTCACGCTAGTTCCGAAGTCCTCCCACTCCTCGCAAGTCACAGACTTCCGGCCTATTGCGTGTTGCAACACGGTCTACAAGATTTGTTCTAAAATCCTTGCTAGACGAGTTAGCGAAGTCCTTGACTCCATCATTGACGAGGCTCAAGCCGCATTCGTGAAAGGGAGGAGCATTACGGACAACATACACCTAATGCAACAACTACTCCGACTCTACTTGAGGAAAAGAGTCTCTCATAGGTGTATTATCAAAATAGACCTACGAAAGGCTTTTGACTCCATCTCTTGGTCATTTTTGAAACAAGTACTTGACGGACTTGGCTTCCCCCCGGTCTTCACTAAGTGGGTAATGGAGTGCGTCACTACCCCTTCTTACTATATATCTATTAACGGGAGTCTCAAGGGTCACTTCAAAGGCGGTTGTGGTCTTAGGCAAGGTGACCCACTATCACCCTTCCTCTTTGTGATTTGTATGGAATACCTTACTCGGCTTATCAAGAGAAACACGGCGGCCGGCACGAACTTCAAATACCATCCGATGTGCGAGCAATTAAAAATCTCGCACCTTGCCTTTGCCGATGACCTCATGCTTCTATCTCGTGGTGACACCCCGTCAATTCAAATTTTTATGGATTCCCTCAAGGATTTTGGAGCTAAGTCGAGGCCTGAGATGAATGTGCTAAAGTCCCACATATACTTAGCCGGTGTCAAGGATAAAAGTCGGGCCACGATCCTAGACAACAATAACTTGTGGTGCGGCTCAATGCCCTTTCGGTATCTCGGTGTTCCTCTCTCTGCGGACCGAATAACCGGTAGGCTCTTTGACGATATGATTGAGCAAATTGAAGGGCAACTTAGTAGGTGGAATGGGCATACTCTTTCCTATGCCGGAAGATTGGAACTCCTTCGCTCGGTGATTCAAGGCATTGTGTGCTTTTGGATGGGGATCTTCCACTTGCCCGGCATTGTTAGAACAAAAATCACACAACTATGTAAAAGGTTCCTTTGTGGATCGAAGAGCGCTCCCGTGGCTTGGGATAGCCTTTGCTTACCGCGCTCGGAGGGAGAGTTCGGGCTTAGGGATTTGAAAGCGTGGAACCAAGCGTTGCTCACCCGGACGCTTTGGAACATGGCAAAGAAGGACACATTGTGGCAAAAATGGATTCACAACATTTATTTGAAGGAGAACTCCATTTGGGATTGGGAAGTTAGACCGAACGACTCACCTCTCTTCAAGTCCCTCTTCGAAATCCGACAAGGCTTGGTTGAAAGAGCGGGAAGTGAACGAGGAGTGGAAGGCCTCCTCCGAGGTTGGAACTCCCGAGATAGACAAGACGGATCTAGTAAGTGCTACAACTACCTACGACCTAGAGGACCCATGAAGCCATGGAGTGGGGTTGTTTGGGGGGCTTGCAATACCCCCAAGCATTCCTTCATTCTATGGCTTGGAATCCTTAATCGACTTCGGACAAAAGACCGTCTTGAATTCCTTGATGAAGACCCGATGTGCCCTCTATGCGGAGTCGTAAATGAGTCTTCGAGCCACCTATTCTTTGAGTGCTCCTTTAGCTCGGAGATTTGGGGTGATATTCGTACTTGGATTAGCTTCCTCCATAGACCGTCGACCCTTAAAGGTGCTCTCAAATGGACCAAGAAGGAGGCGAGAGGGGCTAGTTGGAGATCCAAATTGAAGAAAGCGGCACAAGCGGCCACCCTCTACTTCATTTGGAACGCAAGGAATAGGTGGTCTTTGAGAATGAATATCAACCTCCAAGCCTTGTGATCCGGAAGGTAACAACCCATGTTTATCGCACTATATTTGCTCTCTACCCTAATGTGCTTGTTGAACTTGAGAGGCGAAGCCTCGGTCTTTGATGTTTGGAAATTGGGAGTCGAGGTCGAAGGGTGGCCGAGCATCCGGGAGGATATGTGGAATTGGAGAAAATTGGAAAATTTCTTGGGCGTCCCAAGCACTAGCACCGTTATGGGCATAGCGCCGCTAAGGTACGGCTGCTAGCGCCGCTAGCACACTATAGCGAGGAAGAGGTAATATGCACCCAGGTACTAGCGCCGCTAGCCTAGGCGCGCGCCGCTATCCATCCAGACATAGCGCCGCTTTGCCATTAGCGAGGGACTAACGACGGGCAGACAACCAGCGCCTGAAATTGTACCGC